AACATTTTTTTTGTTTTTATTTTACTATTTTTTACATTTTTTTTTAATTTTTTAATACTTTTAACATTTTTTTACATTTTTTAATATTTTTAACATTTTTTTTCTAAATTTTTTTTTAGTTTTTTTATTATTTTTTTAGAATGTTGCAAAAGGCCCATCGCAAAAAATCCTTCGACATCAACTGCGTGGACAGTCTGGGTCGTGGGGCCTTATCAATCGCCATCGACCAAGAGAACCTCGAAATGGTCGAACTCCTGGTGATAATGGGTGTGGAAACAAGAGACGCTCTCTTGCACGCCATCCATGTGGAGTTTGTCGAAGCTGTTGAGCTTTTGCTCGAACACGAAGAGTTGATTCACAAGGAGGGAGAACCTTATGTGAGTTTTTAATTTTTTTATTATTTTTTTTTTAATTAAAATTTTCAGAGTTGGCAAAAAGTCGACATCAACACTGCGATGTTCACCCCCGACATCACCCCCTTGACCTTGGCGGCGCATCGAAACAATTACGAAATTTTGAAAATCCTCCTAGATCGAGGAGCGACAATTCCCATGCCGCATGACATAAAGTACGATAAAATTTTGATTTTTTTTTTGTGAAAAAAATATTCAAAATTTTAGATGTGGATGCGATGAATGTATCAAGGAGTCGGAGGAGGATTATTTAAGACACTCGTTGGCGAGGTTAAATGAGTATAAGGCCTTGGCGAGTCCCTCTTTGATTGCGCTTTCATCAAGTGACCCGATTTTAACAGCGTTTCAATTGTCGTGGGAATTGAGGAATTTGGCGTTTGCTGAACCGGTGAGTGGGAATTTTTGGAAAAAAATTGATTTTTAAATAAATTTTTGGAAGAAACGTTGGCTTTGATTGGCTTCAAGTTTTGCCATTTGATAGAAAATCAAACGCTGATTTCGGCGGTATTTGTGCTTTTGTCCTGAGAAAAATAGATTTTGAGAAAAATGAGTTTAAAATTTTCAAAAATTATATTAAAACAAACCAAAAAATTAATTTAAAAATAACAAAAAAAACGGCAAAAAACCTGTGATTTCTTGGCCTATTTTGACAAATTCTACTCCAAAAACATCAATTTTCTTGATTTAGTGATTTCTTGACTCATTTTTACAAAAAAATAAATTTTTACCTCAAAAACAGACGAACAAAAAAAAACAAAAATAGCGCCAGTGTTTTTCTTAATTTAATGATTTTTTCACTAAAACTATTTTTCTAAAATTCTAAACTGAATTTTCAGAATTCCATGCCAATTCACTAAAAAATTTTCAGGAATACAAATCCGAATAATTACATCCTGTATTTTTTTCTCCTTTTTTTCTCTTTTTTTTTTCTACTTTTTTTTCTTTTTTTTTTCTCTTTTGTTCCCTTACCTATACTCTGTGTTTTTTTTATTTTTTGTCTTATTTTTTCAAAAATATTTCAATTTCAGCAATTTTCTTGCTGAAAAACGCCTTAAACCTAATAAAATAACAATAATGCATTTCAGACTTACTTTTATAGAAAATATAAAATATTATTAAAGATAAAATTTTTCAGTATTATTACTGAATTTTGGTAACGTATTTCAG